TTTTATTAACAGCCCCTTATTCAGCAAATTGTGCATGCTGCCTTTGATCCCTTCGGGGGGTGAGGCAGCATTTTCCTTGCGATAGTAACTCCTAGTATTATATTGTTTGGTATATTGCTTACTGTTTTAGCTTAAGTTTTATCAAATAGTTATTATTTAATATCACAATTACGTTATATAGTGTGATATGTGTTATTTGGTACAAGATTTTTACAGTCTTTCAAAATTATTCGGGGGGCTCCCCCCCCCCCCCCTAGTGTCCGCCACTGCTTCTCTTCATTAAATATTACATAATATGAAGGTGCAAGCTAACGGTAATAACCTTGTAGGGTTAGCCGAGACCGTTAAAACGCAATTATTTTTAAGTATTTACAATTTTACAGTGAGATATCAGTACTTGCTCCGAGCGGCTACAGAAAGATCATACGTTGTACTTCTTCTTTATTAAATGTCTTCCTTTCAATCACAATTTTTCTAGTGAACAGCATACCATGCATTAGGTTTTTAGATAACCAAGAAACAAAATTTCATTAAACATGTCAAAAAGTGGAGTGGATAATTAGATATTCGTCCCCCCCACTCCAAAAACTGGGGGGACGTGTCCCCCCCATCCCCCCCCCCCAGGATTGACGCCCATGCGGCCAAATATGAATTTGGATATGTAGTTTAACCGAAAATAAGATTAAAGATATCATGTCCGGAAAATGTTTTTTATGTTGAAATCCGCCTCCCTCGGCTCCCCCCGCTCGATCGCCAACAATTTTGGAAAAAGACATATTAATTAGTGGTTGAAATAACTCGGCAAAATTTCCCTTAATAACTTATTAACTCCGCAAAATTTACTTACACCCCCCCCCCCCCCCATTCAAAGAGATCTAGCACCGGTCCTGACCAGAGGACTAGCTATAATCACATTCAAAAGTTGTTGGGACACATGGAGTTTTGGATTGTAAGTGGATCATTACAGTTTGTTACACACAATACCGCTCTCCTCCCCCTCCCCCCACCCCAATCAATGTTGCTTAAACCTGAACACATCAAATCTGACGAGAAATGGGACACAACATTGAATAGAGGGCGGGGGGATTGACGTTTGTTGAAATTAAAAGGTTTTGTGGCATCTGTCCCAAGACATTTGAAACTGATTGTAAAAAGGCAATGACAAGCATATTTAACCTCTTTGAATTACCAAGTATTTTATAATATTGTGCATATTTGACATGAAAACATGTATGTAATATAAAACAGTTTGAACGCGTGCTCAGTTGACACTCGGTTGTCACTTTGAAACACATAGCATTTTCATTGATCTAACTTTAATTGTCGCGGTAAAATTATTTTCAGAACAGTAACTATAGTAAATAAAAGTGTTTAGGGAGCGCATATTGATATATTACGGGGGGTTCTACTTAATCACAAAGTATGAAAATTGTATAAAATCTATCGATTGACACAACTCTAGAAATATCACTATGATATATCAGATTTATTTATGTAGAAAAGTGTCAATCGCCCCAAAACTTGGTTTAATCAATTTCAAACCCTTTCATTAATAGCAAATACATTGTTAGACATTCTCAACAGATTATTCTTAGTCTTGCTCTGTTTTAAAAGCTGTCTAGTGGCTGGTTATTTCATATTTCGATGGTGACAATCGATCAGTGTTAACCGGTGTTAGTTTCATTGCAATAGGCTAATCCGGAAACGCTTATTAGCATAATTAGCGTATAACATTAACATTGTGCTGTATAATGCGTATACAACGTGAGTCCCTTTCGTTACATATTTTTGGAAACCTGTGCAACTTTCTTTCTTCGGCGGGTCGCGCTAGTACTTGCTAACGGATCAGCCTTGGGGAGGTCTATAAGCTAGGGCTTTCAAGCTCAAAAATATGCGCGCGCGCTTACACCCGTTTTCAAAATTACGCGACCACCCTGAAAAATACTCTTACTTCAAATGTCAGTTTTATGTCACAAAAACGGCTAAAAATAGCAAACGTAAACAAACTGTCAAAAGACATTTTAAACCGTATTTAATACCAAAACTGAACAAAAATGAGTTAGATAACTTAGATATACAAACTAAAGCACAATACAAACCATCACAACAGAAATATGTGCCGTGAATAACTTTTAAAGTTTGAAAAATAACAATTTATCCTGGAATTTAGCTGTCCGTATAAAACAGGCGCGCTAGACTATAACGGTGATGTTATGATTTTGTTTGTGCTTAAATTTTGCAATAATTCTCACTAAAATATCTTAAAAATCACTGTAAGCATGTTTATATAAAGCATACAAAGCATATACATCGACCAGGAACCGCAAAACTCAAAGTTTAAACTTCGTGACCGAATGACATAAAACTGACATGTCAACTCTAGCATTTTCGTCCTTGGTCGCGTAATTTTGAAAACGGGTGTAATCGCGCGTGCAATTCTTGCTGCGCGCGCTATCTTAGTATTCAATAAATAATGTGTTTTTTAACTTTTTTCCAGTGCTATTTTAGTAACTTTAGAAAAACAAACATACACACCCAAATAAGCGTGTTGTTCAGTGTTTAAACTTGAATTACGTAACGAAACAAAGTACGTAACAAATTGAATAATCTAACATAAGTTTACTACCATTAAAGTCATGTTAAAGTCATATAAGTGAATATTTTGTTCAATATAAGCGATTATGTCTTAAAAAAATAGCGAATATCTGAAGGTATAGTTAAAAATCACACTTTCTGGTGGTTTTACTGCCATTCGTAATCAAACGCATTTTTGCAATGACAGTGCTTTGTAAATACACACAGCAAACATTGTTTTCACGCCAGACATCTGATTTCGCTAATTTTGTAGTTGACACGTTTTAATTTACTTCAGCGCCAGGCTAGTTAAAAGGTAAACCCCAAAGGTGTCAATGTAAACAATGTGAAATCAAAATTGGGACCTATAGCGTGTTTGACTGCAAATGGACTGTATAAATATTATACATTGTCAAATTTCTCAACATCACACTTTACAGTCACCCAGTTCAATCACTGTCCGATTCTGAAACAGAACATTCTTCGTCGGAGAATGTTAAGTTGCTATCACTGTCATTGTCAACTGTCAAAGAATCAGCCAGCTATTATAGTTTAGCACAGTTCAGGAAAGCGATCACTCCACCAATGGTCCAAGAGAAACGCGAAAGTAATTTGATAACACCTCGTTGATTTTGTAACATTTCAAGTGTGCGTAATTTGCATAGAGTGAAAAGGTTTTTACAAAACATTGTTTTCGGATTGGTTTAGAAACTTAATTGCTTATTTAAAGACTATTGGTTAATTTGTTCGCGGAGAAATTCAAAACAAATCAGACGACAAATTATTAAAACAACATATGCTTCGCTCCAATGTCTGATATCTGCGCACACGATCAATCGCTCGCTTTGTCTGGGCGTCTTGAGTCTGGGCGTGTGTGGGCGTGTGTGGGCGTGTGTGGGCGCGCACGCGCGCCTCCCATTGAAAGCCCTGTTAAAGCCCTGGTGAAATCATGAAGTCCAGGCCTTCCTTTACCAAGTACGAATACGCTGTATAGTAACTTTTTGGGATTGTCTGAAAAGTTCAATTTAATGCCCTATTTACTCTTCTCGAGCTTCCGAAAGCTCGCCACCTCGATGTTGTGGACAATTTTATAGCCATGTGGAAGTGCATGACTACTGCCCTTTTCATGAGCATCCGAAATTCCTACCCATTGAGTGCTCCTTCATCGGGAGCGCGAATGCCATGCGTGGACAATTATATCTGAAAATTCTGTTCTAGGGAGATGTAAAATGTCACATTGACTATAAGTGATTAAGCAAACGTTCTTTACCTTCGGAGAACCCGAATTAGCATTTAACTCAGCCATTACCGGCATGCGAAAGTAACCGGATGTTATATTACTATATGCTACATAAATTAACAGTAAGTGTGACATATCTACAGTAGCGTAAAACATTTACGACACCTATCTTTTAATATTGATGGACTATAATTTCTCAAATAACCTACTTGTACTCTGACAAAATTTGCAGAAACAAACAACGTATGAAACCTTTGTGATTAAGTACCATATGCCATAACATCATTTTATATTTCAAAAGTACAGGTGATAGAATGCTCTGCGAACGAAGTCTTTTGGCTCCATTTCGTTCACAGAAGATCTAATATAACATATCTACAGTGGCCCTACAATATGCTCGAATTTTAACGTCATCACGTTTGTGGTTTTATCACTAATGTGGAACGTTCATTAATCTATGACATACTGTACAAAATAGAACAAGTATGCACAGTTTTAAAATGTTAAATTTCTCCCACAAATAAGCTTGTTTCCTAGTTTTTGCACAGTATAGGATAGATACATTGCATTGCTCAAGTTACTGCTAATTAAAAGTAGCTAGAAAAAGGGGTTTAAATAATCTACTTTCGAATGATTGAATACAGTTGAATGCGAGGAGCAATATGAAGCCCAATCAGAGGCCGAATCTGAGGCCCAATCTGCGGCTACCTTCACAATGGGTGTTATTATCTGCACAGCTTACGCAACTGCAAATTTGGCATGAAAATTGCTGGCAGTAGCAAATTAAGTTTGAAATAACTACACTTAGACTCAAACAAATTATTTAATAGGAGATGAACATATATTGGAAACTATGTTAGAAACTAAAAGATTGTCAATATATACTTACAAGTTTTACGGGACTAATTTTTAAATTGAAATTCGTCGTCCTCGTCCACTTCAAGTTGAAATTACAAGATTCGGAGAAATTGCCAACCATTATAGATAGTTAGTCAATAGATATACACAGATTATAAAACTGTGTTTCTGTTAACTGTGTTCCACTACGACCAAAAAAGCACTCGCCAGAAGATTTACTGTATTTTTGACGATTTAAGCTATGATAGTTCTTCTTTATGTACCGGAATCTACCGATAATGGTCCGATCATTCGATCAATTCGAAACTTCAACATGCCCCCCCGGGAATTTGAACTTTTTGAAATTTGACTGATCAAATTCTCCACCCCCTGTGCAAAAAATGTCTTCAAATGCCCCACTGTATTAAATTAAACAAGAAATTAAGAGTTCAAATGCCCCACCTTCATATGAAAATTATGAAACAGTATTAAAATACAAAAAGTACAAAATATACGGAAATGTTTTTTGGCGAGATAGCGAAATTCACTTAATTTATTAAAACAGTTTGGAAACCTTATCACTCTCCTCCGCAGAGCCTTACGAATTTTTAGTAAAATTGCGTAATATTAAGGGGGGGGGGCAAATTACGCAAGGTATGATGGGAAGACGGAAGCTACGTGGTATTTTAAACTACTTTTAGATACTATGTGGTATTTTAAACTTTATTTGTTGATTTTGGGAGAGATAAAAACAATAACAAAGCCATGATACTTTGACGTATACTGTCGCTATACAGATATGTAAAACATGCCGTCAATACCGGCAAATGCGACATAAATATTGTATAAAATTCATTCAACTTACCCTCGATACTTGAAGTGTGAAGGGAAACTTCTAAAATGTCCACATCGCTGCTTTCCGAGTCGTTTTCTTGCCTTATTTCAGCCAAACCCGAGAACCGCAGAATATACCCGAGAACCGCGCATTATATGGCAGAGTCTTCGTTACATTTTGTCAACCATCGATCTCACCCCCCGTCGCGCACCACTAAATATCCTCTACTATCCCTACAAATCCTATATAATTCAGACTCTGCGGAGGAGAGTGAAACCATAGATATAGGAGATCTAGATTGCTAACGCATACCTAGCGCAGGCGGGGCCTACATGATAAATCCAAGATGGCGGTACAACAGGGCAAAAAGACTATAGATTCTATTACGAAAATCAGGATTTTTGCATTTTTTGTCGTCGCATTGTTTTGGAACTTATTCGGTCAAATTTTATGGTAAAGAGAAACTTACCGCGAAGATTTTGAGCATATATATGATTGAATTGGATGAAAAATTGCAAAATTATCCAGCGATAAAAGTTCGTGTGAATGGTCAGTTGGTCAGTTGGAGCGTTTTATTGCCAGAAATACTGTGCTGTGTTAACATCTAGCCTTGTGAATGGTGTTTTATACTTGCATCTCTCATCATCATCTGCTCTGTCCTCATAATTATGAAAAATGAACTGTTATGTACCCCCCCCCCCCCCCCTGCTTGTTAGAGAAGTAAACTGATGAGAGCACTGGATGAGGGTCTATCATCTATGGTCTGTTATAATTTGTTTTTATGCAAATAGTGAGCAAAAATTAAAGCAAAACTGTACAAGTTACATATATAGTACTATATCAGTACTATACACGAACTTTTATCGCTGGATAATTTTGCGATTTTTTATCCAATTCAATCATATATATGCTCAAAATCTTCGCGGTAAGTTTCTCTTTACCATAAAATTTGACCGAATAAGTTTCAAAACAATGCGACGGCAAAAAATGAAAAAATCCCGATTTTCGTAATAGAATCTATAGTCTTTTTGCCCTGTTGTACCGCCATCTTGGATTTATCATGTAGGCCCCGCCTGCGCTAGGTATGCGTTAGCAATCTAGATCTCCTATATCTATGAGTGAAACCTTACGGAAATTTAATAGTTTTACACAATTTTATAGTACATACTTTCAAATGAAGCACATATCTTTTCCATG